GGGGGCGCTCATACCTTATTTTGGGTAAAAAATAAACGCATAGGGAAGAAAAGCCAGCAGGCGAAGACACACAAACAAAAACGCCCCTCCTCCCCACCCCCTTTGCTCAAGGTCTGAATCCGCCACTGATCAAAACGGCCAATCATAGCAAACATAAGTGTTCCAAGGAACCAATAAGAACTCAGATTAAGAAGAAGCAAACTGCGTCGAGCGCAGAGTTGGTTTGGTTTTAGTTTCGCATCTAATTAGTTGAGAAGGTGACGAAGGTTTTACCACCGATTACAACGTGAGGAAACTTCAAACTGATCCCTGAATTCCGGATTAACTGAACCCTTCTCAGGGATGAGTTATGATCCAAAAGTGAAGAGGTAGTATTTTAATGAAAAGTTACGGAAGACATTCCCTCAAAACCTTGGCAAAATTTTCAGTGAGTACCTGTAACATTCCATGCATATAGCGACTTGTTCGTCTCCTCGGTGGTAATCGTGATTTTCATCCTTTTCGTTTGATGTACAAGATGACGATGGAGATGGATTGTCGACTATTTGAAAAAAATATATTGAAACATCATTAGGTATTTATTGATAGAGCAGGAGGGCCGGACGGAAAAATCATTTGGCTCACAGCCATGAAGTACGGACTTAGCGCCAGCGTATAACCGAAAGCCAAATGTTTTCCCGTCTGGCCTGACCTAGGTCAGTCTATAACTACTTTATCATTTAAAAGCTCTTTTTCTTTATTTTTTTACATGCCTTTTGCGTCTTGCGGGGCGTTTTCCAAGGCTGTGAGGCTTTTCACAGTCCCGCTTGCGCCATCGCATACGGCCCGCGTGAGATAATTTTTTTTTATGGCCATATGATAAAAGAAAATTATCACTCATGTAGAAAGACTTTGATCTTACTCTTATTCTGCACTATCAAAAACGAATATTTAGAAACCACAACAGTATGTTCTGTGAGATTCTTCGAGTTTGACGTTTTACCTCGAGGCAGATAAAGGAAAAGAACATAACCAGTTTGAGCTCAGTCTTAGAATGTTGAAGCATGATGACTAAGTGGTGATTAAACCAAAGAACATAACCAGTTTGAGCTCCGTCTTCGAATGTTGAAGCATGATGACTAAGTGGTGATGAAACCAAGGTCCCCTGATAACTATTTCAAAAATGCCCAAGCACATTAAGAGCTCGATCGCTGTGGATGTTCCCAAGTTTACCGATTTCTTTCCCTGTTCTATACTCGCTCTGCTCATCAAGAAAGTGGTAAAAATCCTTCTTGCTAACTCACCGTGTGTTTTAGTTAAATTCATAGCGTTGTATTCGTTTTGTTGTTCGCCAGTGCGGTACATAAACATAGCAACTTCAAATTCTTTCTGTCTTTGGAGCTCTCCTAACAAATAAAACCAATTTATATGAGTGCTGATTATGTTCAGCCTCCAGGAAAGTCATCTCGTATTGTAATTAACAAATGGTAAACACGACAGCGTACACTATTGAGTTATGGATGCACGCGGGAGGTTGCTAAGCACGAAAGAAGCGTAAGAGTCGCTCAAGGCGATAGCCGAGAGCGACTCTAGCTTCTTGAGTGCTTAGCAAACCTCCCAAGTGCATCCATAACTCAATAGTGTACGCTGTGGTGTTTACCATTTGTTTTATAACATAACATTGATACATTGTAGCTAAAGAGTTCCTTTTATTTAACAAATCTTACGCGACCAGAAAAAACAAGCGCGCGCGGAAAAATAGTCTTTGCATTTGCTCACGTCAGCAGCGTACACCCATGGGCAAATGGGGGACGCTAAATTGACCAATCAGAGCGCGCGCTTTATTTTGGTTATGTTTTAAAAGTACGTGTAGAATCGTTTTCATTTATCAAAACCAAAAGGAACTCAACGTAAACTGTAGACTGAAGGATGAAAGTAACTCTAACTGAAAAAGGGGAATCAAAAATGAGGCTCATAGTTGGCACTCGGTGGTGACGATTTTTGTAGGAGACGCTCTGAAAAAACTAATTTTGAACCCCACAGAGACCTTAAAACGAAGAAGCGCGTTCAAAGTTGCCGACGGGTGCACTCATTTCACCCATCTCGTGAGGAAAGGAAACTAGGATCGCCTTTGTAATTTCCAGATAAATTTTCGAAATTGTCCAATTTGGATTTTCAGATTTTTTTGTAAGTCTATATGGTACTGTAATATCATAACAAACGCGTGTTTGATGCTTTGAGATGAGAAACGATCAAGTAGAAGAAGAAATCTCCAAATAATCCCCAGTTTTATTTTTAGGCACTTTTCTTTTTCTTTTCAAATTCTGATTTAGGGAAATACTTAACTCAAGTATTCGTAGATTAAAATCTAAACCACAGAGATTATCCCTAAAATAAATGCTAGCTCTTAGCTTTCTAAAAAATCAACTGCCATACCACGCAATCCCCAAATTCATTCGAGAAATTTTAAGAGAAAAAAATTACATTTACTTGCGTTTGCGTTTCGACCGACGTGGAAGATTTCATAGACGGTCTTACGGCAAGAACTGTTTAGTATCAGTGTTGTCACATCATCACCTCAAGTGCAATAGATAATGAAAGGAATATACGACCGGAAGAAGCGGCTCCAGAAAAGAAGCTGACCGCAACTACATAAAGTTGTTCGCTTTTTCTTCGAAAGCAATAGTGTCTGGTAATCAATAATAATTTTGATAAGCTGCGGTTACTTCTTTTAGAACTCATGATTGAGTGGAATAGAACCGAGCGACACAGGATAACGTGTTGTTTGTGGCTTCGACGACTGGCACTTGCCTCCGTGTCGTGTTATTATCAGCCCGAAAGAATCTTTCATCACTAATAGGTAGCAGTTTGATAAGTTTTTCGCCTGGGGCGATAATCAAAATATTTACCTTTTTGAAAGGTAAATTCTGGAATTGGAAAAACAGACAAGCCTTAAAATCACATAGGGCTGCCCAATAACACTCCAGACTGGGGAGAGCAGTTTTACAAAGGGTTGAATCTGGTCTCCTTCCGTAAAATCGAGGAAGTACAGAGTCACAGTGCAGGATTGCAGAATGGTCCTAATCGAATGTTGCAATACGAGTTGCAAGAAACGAACACAAACATCTATAATTCCCTAAAATGAAAGTGACTGGTTCGTTTAGAGCTCTTATTAAGTTCAAAATATGACATATCAAGTTGTAGCACTGATAAGTTATGTAAATACGTTTTAAGAAAACAGGAACAAAACTAAAATTAGCCCGCTCAATGCCCCTTTACTAGGCCTTTTTTTTTTTTTTTTTAAATGGCTAGGGAACAGGATTCACTGACATTTCTAAAGCATTAAGGTGTGATATATATGTATCCCCGGAAAAGGTTTCAAATTGTCTAAACATGATAACTTTTGTGCTCCATATAAATATCTAAAGCATATAAACACTTACGCTCTTGAAGGCCTGGTACAAGCTTGTACACAATTTCCTGCATTGTACGATCTGCGCTGCAAATATTGAAATACACAGCTCATTTTTTTTCGAGCCTTGTACAGAAAAATAAAAATTAGCAGAAAACTTTCATTAGAAAATCTGACGTGTCACCTGTTACTGATTTACAGTCATGTAGTAGTTCAGTGAAAAGCTTATACCGTGCTATTATTACCAGACGGCGAGGCAAGTCACTTGAAGAAATTAATTTGTTCAAGTATCATAATATTCGTGTCCATAGAAAGTCCTATATTTTTAATGTATTTCCTAGATAATTTTCGGAAAGCTTTGATGCATACGTGGCAGAATATTCAAGAAACAACTATCAATCCTACTACGAACGCTAAAAACGTCAAGGCAGATATTTCAGAGCCTAGAGGATAATTTCATTAGTTAACTCAGATACACGACAGGATGAGAATTTAAAATTTCAGAAAAAAAGGAAAGATAAACATTTTGAGCCCGTAGAACAAGATAACAATAATTCAACTAACTCAGCAGCGGAACGTAAGGTAGACGCGAGTTCAACCGTGAATACCTCCTGTATCACAAACGGTTGTTAGGTATTTTTTCAGAACACGTATTTTAAACTGAGTTGATGAAATGAGTGTTAAGACACTAAGAAACCAAAGCAAGGTTAAAAAATTACTCTACTACAGCCAAGCCAAGAATACACTTCCTAAAACATTGAAATTTCATTATCAAGCTATCAGAGGCAATTTCCATAATAAACTACTTGAAAATTCATTTACAATTATCGAAACGGAAAATGAAATCACTCGATCACGCATATAAACTATTATTGAATTAATCTCGTTGGACGTTCCTCAATAAAAAAAAAATCGTCACGAAAAATTGATCGTATGGTATATATGAATTCTGACGAAGGATTTTCCCAATTCCAAGAAGATGGAGGAAGCTAATTGATTTTTGTCTGCAATGAACGTTGCATGTAATTTTGAATTACTTGAAAAGCCCTCATCACGGAAAGGGTTTAAGCTTCTCGCGTTTTTTACGTCAGTACACCATTTGCTTACCTGATATAGTTCATAGGGTAGCTTTGATGAATCACAATTTTGCACGTTGGGCAAAAGTTTTCTTCTTGTAAATGCTTTACGATGCAGCTTCTACAAACTGTGAACGATAGAAAAACATAACTAATAAACACCACTTGCCTAAAACATAACACAACAAATTAATAGTGAAGCGAAAGTACAGTTTAAATCTGATATTGGTCTCTTGTGTACGAAAAAGATGCACTCTGTTCCGAGAGTGGGTAAGTATTAAGACCCTCGTTAAAGAGGTCGCGGCAAACATGATTTGAATAAAGGTCTGTTGTTTATTTTACCGCATCCCGGGTGTACGAAGTGAAGCTTTTACACTGCCAATGATCTACTAAAATCTTCCAAATAGCACGACCTACAACTGATTGAATTCTTCAGAGTGTCTCATAGCCTCGCCAACGCCTCGTTGAGTGGTGACATTTTACAGTGTAGCGTTTAACTGTAATCATATCACCTGCCCGAGATCACACAAATTCGAAAGTGTTCATCTGTTCTGAGGCTGGCCCAGAGTTGCGCCATAATCACGTCATCTGTTCGGGTAGATTGGTTTCGACAGTTGTTAGCTCAAGCAAAGCAGGAACCTTTGAGGTACCACTACATTCAAGCCAGTCCTTAACATGATAGATTACCGTCTTTTAAACAAAGGGAATCTAAACCATCACCACGAGTACGCAATAAATTAACTACAAGAAATGCCAGACTCACCGCGCAGGCGACATGAAAGTAGAAACAATAGTCTCTGTGCTAATAGGTATTGCGATCGCGGCCATACACAGACGTGAATGACTTGTGATACATCAGCTTTATAATCTCAGTCGAATCATGTTGTTTCTGAGCAGCGAATCTTTGCTGATCAGTTGTAAGGCAAATAAATTCTGGGTTAATTTAAACATGGATATATTGTCTTCAAACGCTTTTGTGTAGAAATAAAAAGCATTTAACGCTAAACACGAACTTTACAAGCTTCTACCGCCACGCTTCACGACCGATCTCGGTATGACCGCAGCTTTCTTTTTCTCGAAGCCAGAGATCTACCTTGATTCCCTGACTCGCTGCCGTCTTGTTGAAGTTTAAACAATCAAGGAAGGAATAAACAACAAAACTGAAAGACGTGACTCGATTTAAAAGGACGAGAAAATCACAAGTTGAGATCATGATATACTTACACGTGTGAAGGCACTCTGTGATGGTCGTGGCGTCGATTAGATACCCACTGCAAATGCCGCAAGTAATGAAGGGATTCAGCTCTCTTAGCTTCACTGACTGGTACATCTTGAAGCAATTAGAAGAGCAGTAGAAGCTAGAAACGCTTCAGACTTTCCAAATCTCGTCGCGGTAACACACTCGATCGGTTATGCGAAACCACCAGGACCCACGAACAGCCCACTCTATACTCAATTTCGGCGAGATAATAGTGTTAATGAAGACTGATGTGGCAAATTTCTGTCAACACTTCAACTCCGGTCAAGATTTTTCAAAAACCCTTCCGTTGAGCCTCACAACAACGGCCAGCGAGTCGAAGAACGTGACCAAATCTCGGCGCAAGATTTTCGAACGATACAATTAGACCACACGTACAAACAGAGCAATAAGCCTCAGGGCAGATTTGTTGTGAGCGGTGGGCGGTCAACATAAAAATTATCCGATCATCAACAATATTCCCGAACAAAGAGAGCAGGAAAGTCTCTGGGGACCTTCACTTCAACTTGATCTCTTGAAACGAAAAGCGACTTTTCCACGTTTTTGTGAACGTGGTCCGCCGCACGAAGAGAAATTGCTTTTAGAGCCGCTAATACACACGATCGACAATTTCCCTTCGCTCTTCCTGTCGGAACAAGCCTTCGCTAAAAGTGTGAAAAGAACCAAGGAAGCTGCGAGAGACTTGTGGTCTCTTATCTCTAAGGCAAGAATCCCAGGCCTCTTAATAATGAACCAGTTTTCAATGGAAGACAAACAATGATAGTATCTTTAGTGTTACTGATTATGAATACCGCTGTGGCTGGTGGCTGGAGGTAGAAAAACCTCACCAATCTTGAATAGGCCTATTTAGGCACCTTTCGCTCCTCGAGACGCGCTTTTGGCTGGAGTGTTTTTATGAGGCCCGAGAGAATGTTCCCAGATACCGGAAACAGAGGATGGATGGCCTGTCAAAATTACCTCAATTGGCATGCATCAAATATCACAAAGGCTGACTGAAAGGATCGTAACACAACAGTATCTAAATGTGTAATAAAACTGCTACTGAGAGAGAGGCTGCGAAAGCAAACGAATCTTGTCACCTGTGTCCAAATATACAAACATAGAAATTAAAGCTTCAAAGATCACTGAGGATGCAAACTGTATAATTCCTTCCCGAAATGAAAGGCGACACTGCTTGGTATAGAGATCGATTCTTTTCTGAGCGATGTGGACGTTAACTCTAAAAGTTATTCCGCCATGATCTTATCTGCAGTGACTGTGGAATGCAAAATAAAGGAAACGAATTAGATGTCTTCCGGTTGACAAGTACCAAGTAAATCTGAGCAAATGTGTCTATTTCAAGCCAGGTTATTGCTTTAAATAGCACTAACTTTCCAACTATTCTGGAGCTGTACACATCTAACGTTTATCCCTCACGTGATACAACCTTTGGCAAAGGAGGAACATTAGAAATGAAAAGGAACCGACAATACAGAATACTTCCGTTTTTTCGAGTGATTTTTTTATCCAAAGCTCTTCACACAATATCAGATAAGTGCGTAACGTTATGGAGGTTTTTACACTGCATTTAGCCGTCCCTGAGTAATAACAAACTTCAACAAACACATTGACATTTTCCGCCTTGACGGCGACCTTTTTTGGATTAGTTTGCACAGCCGACATTTATAATTACAACTTGGATCTGAAGCGTTAGCTTGGTTCACCCAGATTATAAATTTATTGATATGTTGTGACGTTTCTTAATACAAGACATACAATTGAAAACGCACTTGTTATAATAAGTTTCTATGCAAAGCTCTCTCTGGGTTTAATTGACTATGAAACTTGAAGAAAATGACTTTACTAGGATAGCTCTTGAGCACAGAGAACTTCATTCATCGTGTTTACTAGTCTGTTATTACCATATTTCATTTTCTGGAATTTCTGCCTAATTGAGAGGCAATCAAATAAAACAGTGCCACAAATATCTGTCCTAGTACTAACAAGATATATATTGTGTGTGTTTTCAGGTTATCAGTTGTTGATGACAAATTGAACAATGAAAAGAGTCATAAATTATTATTAGTGGACGTAACAATATCACGCTAAATGAATCTTAAAAAAGGACTCTTGTAGCTAGAACAATATGAAGGTTTAAAATGTTGATTCCTGTTCAGTCAAAAAGTCTTCGGTATAATCAGAGACTTAAAGTTGTTTTCTACTAAGCACTAGGATTCATGTTGATCCACTCATTCGCGATTTTGTGGTACGTAATCTTAAGCAAGAATGTTTGTTGAAAAGTAAACTGTAGGTCCTCATACCCTCTTCACTGTTCTATTACTATATAGTACCACGAATTCAAATTTCAAATCCAGTGCATGGTTCAGTCAACTATGCCCTTTAACTCCCAAAATATGCTCGTTAATTCTCCCCTCTAGCTGCTACACATTTCCTTGCAAATTAATTACGAAAATTTGGTGTTAGATCAAGATGACAACTTCTATCTGACCAGTTTGAGTATTCTCATTACCTGTTTCCTGGATAATGTATGGATATTATGGGAAGAAGTTACATGTTAATCACTACTTTAAAGGGTTAATGACAGTCCTCGACTAAATCATGCATCTTATGGTTTAGACTTTTGCTTTACAATCATAGCTGAGCGATAATTTTTGCGTTTCGTTCTAACTTTATCAGACCCCGAAGTATTTAGTCTCACCAACCGATTAACCCTAACAGTGTTGGATAACTTTTCTCTCTCAGTAGTTCTCCACACGGATACCCCTGACGAATGGACCACTGGAAAATCGATGAAATTGTTCGTAGAACAACGAATTTTAGTGCTCGGTGAGTTTTGTAAATGAGATCGATGCCGTTGTATATATAGTTTAACAGTTCAAGCTTTCATCATATTTATAGGATATTATTATTTATTTAGGACTTTAATACTATCATATTACTATTATAAGTTATATTTTATACTTTACTGTAAATACACAATTCAGCTCAGTGGCTGCAAGCTTTGACAAATAAACTATCTATCTATCTATCTATCTATCTATCTCTCTCTCTATCTATCTATCTATCTATCTATCTCTCTATCTATCTATCTATCTATCTATCTATCTTCGTAGACGCTGTGTGCGACACAAAGCTAACTGGTTTAGTTTCAGCGAATTAATGGGAATGATTGGATTAGACTTGCATTTCACTCCTCTACTGTCGGCAACTTGGCCATCAGATACAAAAGAAACGGCAATGTTTGGCGTGAGATACTGTGAATGCCTGACGTGTATTTAAATCACAGTTTCCTCAGTGGGGTATTCGGCCTTGCTGACGCTGACTCAATAATTGCCCTTGGTCATAACTATCGTTTGCTAAAAACCGACAGACACCAACGACAGATAATTCTCTCCTTTATACTGAAGGAGGGTTTGTGAAATAATTTGTAGAATTAACACGGATTCTGTTCACAACTACTTGCCAAGTTTAATGCGATCGGTGTCATGTGCCTTCTAACTGGATATAGTAGCTAAAGAATTGGATTATAAAATACCCCAATAAAGTGTACATCCCGATGATATCGCTGGGGTGTTTTGTGGCCTTGGAGATGATAGTGCTTCGGGATTCCAATAAACCTTTCGACACACCCTTTCCCTCTTCATAGAGATCAACAGGCAGGGCAGAGTAGTTGTCATCTCACACTGAATGACTGTCTTGTTTCAAACATCTTTGAATCATGCTCATAGCTCTCAAGAAGAATAAAACAACGATCCGTTTACGAGAAATTGGATGAAACAACGAGACACCGAGAAAAAAAAAGTTAAGGATTTCTCAATCAATGATCAACAAGCGCAGAAATTATTAGTTTTAATGGAGCAGTGGGCTCATTATTTATTGGCAGTAGATGACGCTGTATCTCCGGCGTCTAAACACATGCGTTTTCGAGAGTTATACAAATTGCGTGGATGTTTCCACGTGCTTAGCCAGCCAAAAGTCTGTCGTGGATGACGTCTAAGTTAATCCATGAATTAACGTGAAAGACATTTGCCTTTCGTCTGCGAACTTTTCGGTGTTTGATTACGCGGTTCATTAAGCGAACTAAGTAAAACAGTGCGTGGGTAGCAACAGACAGCCTTAAAAAAAACCGAAGCATATGGAAATTACACTTGTCACTTTTGGTATTGTATTTGACTAGAGTAAGCAAACACAATTGAAATAGATGTTTGCTCTTTAAACCAGGCGAGGAAGGAAATAGATAAAGCATACTTAGGTGATTTACTTCGGCGTTTTTGTGCCAGTTTTATCAAAGGATGTGTGACCTCTGAATTAAATTGTCACAGGCTTGACTTATTAAGACTCGAGAGATTAGAATATTGTATTATGGCCGCTAATCTGTCTTGATCTCAAAACATAGGAGACATCACAATTATCCCTTTTGTTTCTCCCTCAGGCGAGTAATTTCTTCAGGGTTATTAGTGATATTGGAATTATCCGAGCTGTTCTGTTGTTTTTCCAATTTTTTCTGCATATCTTTTCTCTAGCTTGACGCATTTTTTTCTTTCTGACATGAAGTGATTATGATCAGAAAGCTCCTTATGTAAGTAATGATTCACCTATAGCTTGCCTGCCGATGACCTTTGATAAGTGGTTCACAGCTCAGTCAAATCTACTTTTGTTTTGGTGGCTTCATAGAGTCATAGCTAAATTTATCTCTTAAAGCTCTGGCATAAAAAGAGTGTTATAATGCTTTTCTATACCAGCTTATCACGGTCGTTCAGTCAGTATCGTTTCAAAAACACGGGTGTCCGCTTGTTTGCCTGCATGCACTGCTTCAATCCACCACAATACCAAAACCACTGTGACCTCAACCTCAGTAAAAGATAGATACCCGCAGAAGTTTTTGGATCATTTTTATAGACAAAGGAGCACCATGGTTATAGATATAAATAAACTACTCGCCTTTCATTTTTCCCTGTATGAATTGTTCCGTTATTACTATTTAAGCCAGTTTGATGGGTGTAAATGTATCGCAAGAATTTTGTTGCCGGAAGAATTAATTGTTTGTGGCCACATTGGCTTAAATCGTGCGCTATTGTTGGGTACCTTAGGTCTTTAAGCAGAACAGTGTCTACCAAGATTATCAGATTCCCTGTGTACAGCGTAATCGGGAAAGTTCTGGTGGCGCAGTTTTTTTTTCAAATGAATTTCAAAATGGTAAAGTACATAAAGGCGACAATGAAAGAGTGGAAGTCGCGGATAACTTCAGCGTTTTTACAGTATTTCTCTCATTTAAATAGCTAATCATCCCCCTAATATTCAGGACTGGTTTTGGTCACTTCATGTTTGAAACTTCAATTAGATAATCTTCAGTTTTGCCAACTGTTCTCGCCTTTCTCTGAAAAGCAATTTTTGTTGTTGTTGCTATTTGTTTGTTTAAATGTCGTCTCTCCGCAAAATCGTTTGGTATTCTCTAACCCTCTTATTTAGCCAAGTCACGAAAGCTCCCAGCGCTAAGGACCTTGTAAAGACACCTTTATTTGGTTTAAGCAAACTTTGATTACGACAGAGGGAATTATTCCAGCGATTAATCTTGTTAACATAACATTGCTCTGAGATTTTTCAGTGCTCTCGCCATCGAATCAAAGCTGTGTTGGGTTCGAAGTTTATTTCAGACTCAGGCGGTTGCCGAGAGAAAAGGCTGAGCGGTTGGCCTCCTGTTGAAAGTGTAGAAGAAAAATATCCACGAAGTTTGAAGCATATGTAATGATGATCATTCATCTGATGAGTCACTCAGGTTTGCTGTTTGATCAACCTTTGGTAGATTACTGTTGTCTAGTTGCGACCGCCTTCGCCGTGTACTTCACTAGCTGTCAAGCGGAAAACATGTTGTGCATCATGAATTTCGGGCAAAAGGGACAGTGATTCGCCACCGCAAAACAGACACATTCGTCTGTTTGACGTTGAAACAAGTTTATCTCAGTTAAATAAGAAATAGACTCGAAAAGAAACGAAATAGTTCAGAGGAAAGTTGCTAGCACTGAAATAAAATGATAATCAAAATTAATAACGTGGTTATCATTTTGCGGTATTTTAAGACATAAATCAAATCTATTTTTTTTTCCTATCCAACAATACCTGTCACAGGTTGCCACCTTGATGACAACCTTCATCTGTTTTGAGAAGTAAGAAAGTGTCTTCCTGGGTAATAAAGGAGGCAGCTGATTAAACGAAGGGATACAATGTTTATTCGCTTTTACTTCGAACAAGCCTCTTCATTCAATCCGCAAAGGCGAGGACATAAATTTGACTCGGTTCTTATGAATTCAACTCTTTGCCCCTTAGGCCTTCAGTCATTCTAAATTGCGGTCGTTCATTTATAATTTATCACCGGCCACAAGAAATGTAGTCTAATCTTAACTAATCGACCACAAAAATCCACTCAAATGATTCTGAAAATTTAGAAAAAAAAAAACAAAAACAATTCTGTCAGTCATGTCACACAATAGAAGAACATTGAAGAATAGTACTAGAGAAATTTTGTACCGTGTTAATGAAATCTATTTAAACGCATTCTAACCTTGAACGTCCATTTTCTCCATGGTTACAAATGGTATATAAATCCATAATACGCCATATTACACCCGTGGTTTCCTTTCTTTGATAATATTTTCATAACAAAGACAAGTCTTCGCGTGCTGTTGTTTTAATGTCCTGTGTTTGAATTACAACTACTGGACTACTCAAACAAAGGCAAAAAAAGTCCACTGACCCACTGAAAATGTACTCACTCAAAAGACCGAATCCCTTTTCACGTATTTTACAAGTTTTACGATGATTTCAGAAGTCGTCCGGTATCATGAATCAAATCTACGAAATACTCCCGAACAGGAGCGAGACGAGATACCATGGCATAAAACGATAAAGTTTCTTTCACACAGACGACGTGGTTCAAATGTAATAACTTCCTCTATTACCATCCTAAAAGGAAAAGCTTGAAGTGGTCTGAGATACACTTCTTCGCCTACTCACGGCATTTAATCCTCAGGCCAAACAGTGAAAGACTTCTTGCTGGAACGGTTCTTGCTCCCATTATCTTAAGGCAACCTTTACTCTATTTAATAGAATTTTATACGGGCGCGCACTTCAGCCCTCATCTGTAGTTTTACGGTTTTCGATCATTAAGACAACGATTGACAACTTCTGATTTGAAATCAATGGATACTAACACAATTTGTATAATCGTAGATAAATTTTGCAAATGCAGTGTTGCATTTTAGAAGTTTATTTTGAGTTGTGTGCTTCCGCTCAATCTTCATATTCACACACGCGTGAGAATTAGGGAATGTTTAGATAAGGCATGATAAACCGCTCTATGGAAACACCATATGTCACAATTGACAGAAACTACTTGAGCCATTTTTGCTCTTACATGAATGAGACAAATCAAAGCCGGGTATATGTTAATTTTTGCGATATGTTTCTCTACAGGGTGGTGGGCTCTTCTGTGCTCACAGCACGCGAACTGTGGACGGCTCAGAATTGAAAAAGAATGATATTTGTTAGACCGGCTTTGTAAAGATAATTTACCGGAGGCGATTTACGTTAATGAGGAGCTTCCTACCAGGCAAAGGAAACACGTTTAGGCGAATAAACACTCGACTTCTCATCCGGGATTTTCTAACAAAGGAAACCGCAATCCACAGCGCGCGATAAAAGGTTTGTCAATATCTGTTCATCGAGGTGGGCCTGAATCTCTTCGCTCTGAAATGGCAATTCTTCGGGTAAGTATTCCCTAAGACTACGCTTGATTTCAGTCAAAGCAAAGATCCTTGTTTGACGAGCATTCAATGAAGGCTTATTTGCCGTGTAACATAACCTATCTGCGTGCGAAAACCGGCCAATTTAGACCTTTCCGAGTTAGACGATTGACTGCCCGGATTCAACCGCCGGTCTATTCCGGCGGACTTCTTGTTTAGTCATGCGTTGAATGAACTCTCGAGGAACCATTTATAGATCGGGACCAACCTCATAAATCGCATTTATCAATTGGATTGAACTAGGGCGAGTTCTGAACTGCAAGCAAAAGCAATCACATCAAGTGTTCTGTTCAGTATCGAGTTCAGATCCGAGGTAAGGTGACATCTGTGCGAAAAGGAGAAATCCTCAATAAGGCAAAAAGCAGATAACTTGATGTGACATGGCAAGGCGAGCTGTGCCGATATTTAACGCCAGTGATCTTAGCTTCTTGTCATTTATACAGCCCGGGCCCTTAAAAACAAGAATGGCAGTATTTGAAAGGAAAAACCATTTAAACTTATTAGCCATTTGAAAAGATCGCTTAACTGCCAGTTGCACTGTTGACACAAGTTCAGATGAAGTTGCGGCGGGCGTGAGGTTTTTGTTTGGATCACGGCGCCCTTCACTTTCAAAGATCATTGGTGATGACGAGAAGAAGTTTTAACACTTTTTAATCAATCATTGAAAAGCTATCGAGATAGGGGTGCATGGGATCCAATTGGACAGTAAAATCTTGGTGAGGGCTTTCCTACCTTTCAGACTACCATTGCACTATGCTAAACAACTTGTATCCCTTGCTAGTCCAACAAGGAGCAGAGGATCAAGATTGTGGAGTTGAACCCGTTCATAACGTGTGAACTATGCCAGGGATATTTGATCAAGCCAACAACCATTGCCGAGTGTTTACACACATGTAGGTAGAAACAGAAGTAGAGATGTGTGTGACTACTTTTAAAAATCCACACATGTCGAAAGGATCTTTCAATGGTCGCCCTTGGGTGTTGAAAGATCCTGGGATCAGAGCTCTTGGAAACTGGTCGGGATCACAATTCCGTTCTGCTGTTATGCCCCAAGGCCGGCCAGATGTTCATTTATTATGCACGCTCGTCAAACGCTATTTATTTTGTTATTAGTTTAACTCAGTGACGCCAAGCATTTAGACGCTTATAAATAACACGCTGTCATTCTGCGTGGCACGCGCGCAGACAATGTGAAGAGGCTTTTGTCTTCTATTCTTCGCACAATCTCGTCCTCGGGAGTGAGTCTGCAAGCCAGAGATTGAAAAATTGGTCTTTCACAATAACCAATTATCGACTAGCCTGATTTATTCACGAAATAAGCCAACCAGTGACGAGTCCCATGCGATTTCTTACGCACTTGACAGAGCATGATTAAATTTAATTACTTTCAAGTAAAGAACATTTACTTTAAAAATGTAGCTTCGTTTTGCATACTAAGTACGTCCAAAATTATTTCGGTAGTACTCTCCTCGAAAACCTTTTGCGCACTTATTTTTTCAGCGGGAAATCCCAAGATTTGCGGTTCATCTGTGGTTAAACTCGCTGTGTTATTAATTTTCGTCGCCATTTGAAAAGGGAAGACTCCCTACTGGGATAAAGTTGTACAATATTAATGAGACCCCTGCGGTTTTGTGTTTGTTTGTGCTAATAATCTTGAATTTTTAGGTTATGAAATGCTTGTTTCGGCATAAAGCGAAATTAACCGCGATTAGAAACAACGTAGAAAACGTTTTCTTTCTTGCCGGGCGGTATAGACAAAGGCGAGTGATTTCAAGTTATCCGCAAGAGATTAATTTCGATTCAAACGTGAAGGACACTCCACAAGTCATAACAGGAAGGCCTAACGTCATCTTTCAAGACTGAACAATGCGATAACAAAGTGCGATAACTTTATCATTTATGTAAACGTCGTGTGTTCACTAGATTAAGGCTGGGACTGGCCTGCTGCTGCATAAAATCATTTCAGTTTCAAAAGACTTTGTTTCGAGCTAACTTATCACAAAATTTTGACATCTTCAAGGGCACCCTTAAAACATAAGCTGGATGATGCGCCCTGTCAAAACGATTATTCGTTCCGTTGCTCGGATGCCTTAGTTTTTAAGGACCAAATCTTTAAGAAATGAATTCCTCGACTGTTTGTCAATGCAACCTTTCCGGTGCTTTCCCTGTATAAACAGACTTAACGTTTGCCAGAAAATATTTAGATGGTCTTCATTTGGGGGTCGAAATTCAGCCCAAGCAAGAGAAAAACGTTGCAGATTGTCTTTCCGTTATTGTACTTCTCCGCGGGGGAGACGGGTCAAGCGGAGGCACGTCGACTGGATTAACAATTTTTAATCTCCTCAGAACGAATCCTTTTATTAGATTATGACCCTGGTGTTAAACCATCACTAGTGGGGTGGTATATCACGTATTGAATAGGCAGAAGCTGAATATCTCTGAATCTGTTGAAGATAACGAAGTACCTTCTCTACAACAGAAAACATCGCAACACAAATTGTTTTTTTCCGGAGCAATCAAATCTTAACAAGGAATAATTTCTTGAAATTTTACCCAACACCGCTATTCCTCAAGAGCGAATTAGAAAGAAACCACGCTGTGCTGGAATGAAATTTAGTTTGATCTGTACGGATTCAAACCAAAACTCTGCTCTTTTTCAGTCAAATATCATCAGTAACTCATCGTTTAAAGACCTCATGAAAAGAATGAATACCATTTTAATTGCCTATCTGTATTTGACAAGTTGATTGTTAAGATAAATAATCTTCTTGTGTTCCGTTTTGATCATATATGACAAAAGGTTATTGTAAGGATACGGTCAGGGGTCTTTTGTTTTTCAAACAAACTGGAAGAACTAAAACAAAAGGAAAACAAAGTCGAAACGTGCGCGCCTTTACTAGTCTTAAATCGAGGGAACTGAAAGAAATACCGAACAAATACATAAGATTTCTGTCTTCATTCTGGCGCTGTTAGAGAAACGTAGCAAGAGCATTCAAGTCAAACAGATTACAAGAGAAATTAAACAATCACGCGCACTCAGCAAACAATTGATAAGTTTTACCAAGAGAGGACACTTTATCCTCTCTTGGTTTTACTCAGCGCCTTCATTTGCAGATAAGATCGAAAATAAGTGAATAACGTAATAATATTTTTTTCAGCGAATGACTTAAATTTGACGATAAAAAATGAAATATCAAAGACCTTCCTTTTTCAGCGGTCTCGCTGAATGTACAGTTTCTGTACCTCTAGTAAATTCACATAACTTGATTGATAGATATTTAGCGGACGCTTTCGAAAGTGTCACTGATTTAGTGCCCTTTTCTAAGAATGATTTGTCTACGAGCTTCATCTGGTGCTTGCTCTAGCGGTTTCTAATCCTCTTGAAAGGGATTTGTCCCATTCTCTGTGGCAGCAGCAGATGTTATCTTTAGTTCAGGTGCTGGATATATTTGGTGAAAAATTGCCAATTGATGTCTGTTCTCTAGTGTTTTGTTATCGAAGATCCTGGATTAGGCTGTGGGATTATGAATTGTCCTCTCCTGTTTTTTTCTTTTCCTCTATTTCGACTTGTTCCAATGCTCGTGTTACAACTGTAACCAAAGGTTTACGATTGCCTTCGTGGCTGTCGGTCCGATACCTCATTACCTTTAAACATGATGGCGTGTGATGAAAACTGGATTAAGATTCACTCAAAATGCCGAACACCTCATGTTTTACAAATTTTGGTCGCCCGCTGGCGTCATTTTCTTCTTGTAGGATGCCCTTGCGAGAAATAAGAAAGCAAAGATGAAATTTTTTAATTTAGGACGGGAAACAAAAGAAGGCAAGAGAAATTACGTCTTGTTATTCACAACATCCAGCTTAATTTGAGAGGCATTTCAAGTTATTATCTTTGAAAGATGATACAGTACTTCAATTTTCCACTTTCTAAAGATTTAAGTTTTTCCTTGTCTTATTGATTGGCGCATTTTATTCCCCTGCATTGCTGGGAGGGGTAGGGAAGTGACTGAACTCCTCGCCTTCCCTCAGCTCGTAGTACGAGACCAATCGGGAATAACAGTACAGGTTTCAATTGAAGATTTGAAAGGCTGACCCTTTGATCCTCTGTCCTACCGGAAAATCATAGCCTATGACTGAAAATGGTACGCTGCTATTGAGCCGCAGGGAACTCGTGGCCGCTTTGGAACGATAGAACAAGACAGGAAGCCCGTTAATTGAACTAAGTGTTTATTAAATGTTCATAGGAGTCTTCATGACCCACCATCGAAAATTTTTGCTTTTTTGATGTTGTACCATTCTGAGCTACGAACTATCCTGAGGTATGGCTCATCGACTGCCAAACTTAACCTTTTTCATGGAAAGTCGTCCGATTATAGAGACTAGATATATATATTTTTTTTCCAAGAAAATATCTCATTTCTCCCAGTCATGTTGCATACCGGCAGCTGTTGCCTTCATCACTCTTTAGGGGATTTTCCGCCCATCACATGCGGTTTCGCTAGCACTGATAGGAAAACAATTTTTCTAGGAAATCAGCAATTACTTCATTTCGATAAAACGGAGTTCGAGGAATTGCAAGAACCTCGTTACTAGCTTTGAACCATGCTTTCCAAGAAAACAATTATTTGATATTTAACTCCTTCCTGTAGCTCTTAGAGCACCGCATAAAATAGAAACCAATGGTGCCACGTATTCTGCTGTTGTTTTTTTCCTATAATCGCTGATCCTGGTGACTATCTTTTCACTAGCCCGAACAATCAAAAGTGATGACCATACAACTTATCTCTACAAGGTCTTACAAAATTAGTTTATTATCCAGAAAAAATGCAATTCGAATCTACAAATGTATCGTTTCTGGCAACATCTAACATCTCCTGACTGAGAGAATACATTGTAGTCTCAACCACATTATGGCCTTACATTTTTAACCTTTCCCCCTCCTCCGAATAAAGTGAAAAATTTCCTACCCGGCTCACCTACTACGGTAGGGAACCAGGGGAATCTCAATTTTGGTTTGTTCAGGGAGGGGGGCGTACCTTGCACGCACATAAAAAAAATAGAAATAACGCGACACGAAAATTCGGATAAACAACTTTAAGGTTCACGTATCGCGAAAAACAAAAAGCTCGCAGTTTACGGGGTTTAATTTCAGTATTTTCACTGGTCATGGAAATTAAAAGACATTTAACCCCATATCACGTAATGACCCCTTTCCCTCACTCTCCAAGGGTTTGGGGTAACAGACATATGCAATATCTTCAATCGTTTATTGTGTTGTTCTGTTATGTCAGTCTGCAGAAGTTGTATTGTGCAGAATCTTCAAGACAACGAGGAAAACATCTGCCCGAAGTGCTCCACTGTTATTCACGAAACCAACCCATTTGAGATGCTAAGGTAGGACAGTACTTTCACAAAACAGTGATGTACTTTCCCACAAAAACTATAAAAAGGCTCGACTAAACCGTGTCTTTTTATATATGTTACAGTTTCATTGCCCCACTCTGGAGTAGAAATATTTAGCTGTTTCTACTTTTGGTCGTGATCAGCCAGGCGTAACAGCATGCGTAAACTTGGGCGGCACGGGAAACTCCCAATGTTCCCCTTATTCACTCCTTTCTCATTTGCACTCTTCTCTTTTCTCTTCCCTCTCCACCCAGGGAAAGTACGAGGAAGGAAACATATTGGTTTATCAAATAAATTTGCGAAAAGGAATCTTTTTTACGGGTAGTACACCCAAGCTCAGTTGTCACTAGATTCTATTTGGCTATGTGATGTATGTACAATAAAAAGTCACAAAGTTTGGATTACCACTCTTCCTGCCTAAGTTTTCGGTTTTAATTCTACCTGCTATATATGAAAGTACACTGAACACTTTTGGACCAGTTGCTTTGGTTTCACCGGAGAATAAATAGGAGAACTAAAACAAAACCAATTTAGGACGGCGTTCTCAACTGACGTAACTTGTAAATTAGGAAAATGCGAGAATGGCTAAAAACAGCTTGACCCAGCAAATTTCATTCTCATTTTCATACTTATGTGGACAAAATCGCACTTATGAAGCGCCGTCTGAAATTACACCTGATCAGCTTTCGTCTGAGTAGTTAATCCACATCCTTGCAGTTCAACAAAAAAGTCACATCGACTTATCGAGCGTTAAAGCGTGACCGCCCGTCAGCACTTTCCCATGAGCGTTTTGTGTGCAAACATGCTGCGGCTTTAGCCATGTGAAATATCTATCATGGAAACTAAAAATTGTAACATATAACACGACATAGCATGGGGAAGAGAAACGGTTATTAAGGCCTCTGATTGGACAGCACAATAGTAGAACTTGAAACCTTATAAGGTGAAATCCAAGTGAAATCATTCTCAGTAAATCTGCTTAAATTTGGACACAAAAACATATCTCCCTTAAATATAAAGTACGTATTTTGGCCTATTTTTGCTGATTTCTTGCGGAAGTCGTTTAATTGCCTGCCCTCAAGAAAGTTCCTTATTGTGACGGAGATCGTATTATGTACGAAACTAGTTTTTACAGCTCTGCCTTTGTGTGGGTTTTTATCAAAGGATATCCGTGGGTTTTGGCCGGGCTTTCCTCCGCAGACAGAATTTGCATGAAACCATTACTAATATGTGGCTTGTTTATTTGTCTCGATCTTAACCGTCTTCAAAGTAATTTTATGTTCACGGAGAATTTTATCAGGTGTATCAGCTAAACAGGAAGAAGATTGTGACGAAACTAAATCATCCCGACTTCTAACGTTGCAAAAAACATGATACCAAACATAAAATATATTTTCAAATTTTCTCTCATTTGGGGAACTTTTTCTTCCAATAAAATTCATCCGAGTCTTCTCAGCCTAATAAAAATGTTTTGGGAAAAGGCCTTGGGTAGGGTGAGGTTCGGCTTGGGACACCTGTCCTCGTTTTGCAACACCTCCTGGCCAGATTTTGCGGCTGAGCTGAATTTTTCATATGTTTTGACCTATGGTCTCTCTTCAAGACATTTACTCAGATTATGTTCTCGCATTTCTTTTTTTTTTTCTAGATCAGATCAAATGTTAGAGGATATTATATTTAAATTGGTGCCAGGACTACAAGAAAGTAAGGAATTATGTAAATCTGTATTTTTTTATATTCCCCAATTCCTTGTTTCTTATTGCTCTCAGCTTTCCTTTCAACTGCAACTTCCCCATTTTCTACTTTGCCCGCTGGTTTATGTTTTTGCGTAACGTTTCACTAATGGAAAGCAGGTATTTTTCATTCGACCCGCACTTACATAGTCTCTTACCAAACCTCTGAATTTCTCAGAACACACTTTTGTTTTCCTCGAATGTTCGCAATTTCAAGGTAAGGTTTCTCATGTTTTTCCTTGTGGGAAGTTTTAGTATCGTTACATAATAACGAAACTATTCCTCGACGCGAAACCTCCTATTAATGTCAGTGTTGCCCAGATTTTAAGTTATTTGGCGGTTTCGATCAAACGATCGAATTTCGGAATATTTTTTCAGCTTCATATGTGTTCCTTGCTCTTCCCGTTTCTAAGCAACCTTACAAAGGAAGTGAGCAGTTTCGTTTTCCCTTTCAGCGAAGATTAGGAAAACAGGAGCTTCTCGGGAAGTTATTTGCATTAAAGCTGTGTGTTATGACGCTTGTATTGATTACTTAAAAATAGAAACGACTTCCCTTGTTGTTATTTTGAATGGTCAAACTAATTTGTAATGCCGCCTCCATACAGTTTAGGATGGCGTGACAATGATTCATATCCTGTTACTATGTTTGCTGGTGACTGTTGAAAAGTGTTCCCCTTCACTTTCTAGTACAAAGTTCGCGGAATAGGTCGCAACAACCTTTCGAAAAAACCTCCCGCTTTCGCATTTCCAGGATTATGAAGATCGATTTCTAGGAAATGCAAATATCGTATTCTTGTCGTTGTTAAACAGAAAGTATTGTGACATTGACTGATACTTTACTTGATTTTTCGACAACGTATCAAACGTTTTTCACTTTGAAATCAACCAAACACAAACCAGCTGCAGTATCGCTGAAGTTATTGTTTTAATTTGCATAATTACAAGACTGAACAGAAACACCGGAAGAAGTTTGCAGTTGGCATCGGGGAAACCCCTTTTCCGTTCGGTCGCCTGATTGGCTGATATAAATAGGCGGAAAACTTCCTTATTTTCCCCCTCTTAAACTTACTTCAAATTTCGCTTCGATTTATAAAGGGAAGACGCGAGAGTCAGATGCATTCGAAGAGTATATCGCGAATGAAATAACTTGCACGCAAACGTTTCAATCTACTATCAACTGCGATGAATAAGCACGAGCCTATCGAATTTGTCGTTTGTCAGGAAAAGATTCCGCTTCTGGAGGAGAATATTACAAAAATAGGATCTCTTTTCAACGTTGATGTCACACTCAAAGCAAACGATCCAACGAGTAGACAACGATGGATTTGCCTTAAAGGGAACGACGCAAATCTTCAGAAAAAGGCACAGACCTACATCAAGTCTCTGTGTAGCACGAGTAAGCACCCCATCGAAGCGCCTGTCGGCCTGTGTGAAAAGCTAAAGAGCGGCCATCTAGGTAAGGAGGTTGAAAGGCTCAGTGGCGCAGTATTGTCATGTAATGACAATACAGTGTACATCCAAAGTGATGATAATTTAGTCACAGCCTTAGCGGTCTCTGAAATTGAGCGACATATTGCGAATTTCAACAAAGAAGATAAAATTGACGTCGCTTCGAGTAAATGTGACCCTACTGCTGTGCCGGACGCAGTGAACATTCCAGAACGTTCTACGTCAGTTGCAACAGATATTCCGCCTTCCATGAGGGAATTCGCGTATAAACTGAACTATACAGACAAAGAAATCGACGCAGTCATAAAAACATTTGGAACAGAGATCAATATTAATCAACTGTTACAGGAACTTTTAAAAAATACTGCATCTGCGCAGCAGCTTGGCACCGCTCCAGAGGACACAACTTTGCTTCCTGGTTATGTTCGAGGAAATTGTGTGGCGCCACCTCTGCAACCGACAGAAACGCGTAGAACTCTGCTCGCTAGAGGCGCTCCCGCCACTCCTCCTAGAAGGCCAGAATATCATTATGTTCCTGAACACATTAGGAAAGTCCCTTCTGATAATTTGCGGCCAATCGTGATTGATGGCAGCAATGTGGCAATGAGTCATGGCAATCAGAGAATGTTTTCGTGTCGGGGGATAAAAATTTGCGTGGAATACTTTCAACGGAGAGGACATACAGACATTACTGTCTTTGTACCCATGTGGAGAATGGAAGAATGTCGCCAAGACAGTCCGATCATGAACCAGGAAGTACTTGACGAGTTATTCAGCCTAAGCATTTTGAAGCTTACTCCATCAAGGTCACATGGTAACCGTCGCATCGTGTGTTACGATGACAAGTATACGGTAGATTTGGCGGACCAAAATGGGGGAATAATTGTCTCCAATGACAATTTTAGAGACCTCCTTGAAGAAAACCCACGATGGAAAGAGACAATTGAACAGCGCACACTGATGTACACCTTTGTAGGGGACCGTTTTATGCCTCCGGACGATCCTCTGGGAAGGAGAGGACCCTCCCTAGATGATTTTCTCCGAAGAGGGTCCGCTACTCATCCAAAAATATGCCCTTACCTGAAGAACTGTACTTTTGGCAATCGTTGCAAATATTACCACCCTGAAAAGGACACAGAACGGCAACAGGGGGGAACTTCAATTAGAACCTCCTCCGAGATTACTGAACACCAAACGAACGGTGTAGGGGAACTTAATATTGCAACTCAAACCCCAGTAATTTCATCTACACAACGTTGCAACAGGCACATTTTATCAGAGTCAAGAGTCAGTTTCCAGTCCCGAGTTGACAATCATCCTGGACGTCCCGGAGATATTGTATCTCGTGGCAGTTCTGCCCGCGGTGTAACTTCTAATGAACATAACCACATTAATGGTTGCGGGGAACCCTTATACCCCCACGGGTTTTACGGTGGAAATGTTTATGCGGACTATCATCATTCGGTAGTTCCTGACTATGCGCCTCCCATGTTTCCTCCGGATATGAACCAATTCCCACCGCTCGCAGCACCATGGGCTTCATCTCCGTATACTACTCCCGCGCAGTATGCACCGTCCCCACCGATGGGATATCCCCACGGGCATGCAACGTACGTGTATTTCGAACCTCCTCCGCCCTTGCGTGAACCCCGTAAGGGAAATGTCGGGGATCAGATTGATGGCAACTCAGAACAGAATTCCCTCAGCAAAGAGGAATACCAAATGCTTAAGGACATCTGTGACGATGAAAATAAATTAACACGCATTCTGCGCGATAACCCTCGAGAGCGGGACATAAACAGATTAGCCCATCTCTTATTTGAGAACTAAAATCTCCCGGTGACCGGTGAATTCAAATATTACAGACTCGAGTGTCTGTTCAATTATGACATATATCAATGACTGTTTCCAAATATTTTTAAGTATCGCTTCGAATATTACGAGATGTATTTAGGCGCTACAATACTCAACAAGTTTTGACCAATTTACTTCAGCGTTTTTTTGAAGTGTAGCTGACCTGTATGTACTCTTATCATATCGCCTTTAATTCACTTGTAATATGCATAATCTCTGGTTCAGCTATATCATAACTCTATAATACAAAAAACACTTAATGAAAAGTCTTATTTGATTACACAGTTTTCTCTTTTGTTGCCAGACTCTTTTCATGAGTTCTTCCTCTTTGGGGGAATTGTAGTAAATTTTGAGTTGGTTATAACTAGGGTGTTTTATCATTACAACGAGTCATTTCATCCCAGAATGTTTCCACAACCACATCGGAAATACTGCAACTATATCAAGTGCGAATTTTTTCCTCGTCTTCTGGTTCTTGAAAACATACGTGTTAGCTCGCATGTCCTTCTAATTAACTTGACGTCAATATTACCTCAAACCTTTTCAAATTGTTCCGGTGAGGAAGTTGAAGAATTCTGCTCTCTTGCTTGCGAAGTCTTAGTTATATCAACCTATTTCGCGTAAAATAGCACCTAGTTTCTTTCGGTTAAGAGATCTGTGTTCCTCAAGAAACGCAGAACGCGGTCGAGTAAAACAATATCTGGCGGGTAGCTGAAGCCAAAGACCCCCATTTCCGCTTTCGATTTTGAAATCGTCCGTCTTTACTTGTCAGTCTTTTGGAACTACGCAATTAAGTTGTTGTTCTCAAAGTCAAAAAAATGTGTCCATTGCGTAGAAAGATTTGAGGAAGCTAAAAACTCACTATTAAATTTAAACCCTTATCACACTTAACCAACAGACTACAGGTTAAGCTGCGATTGGCATTCTGTATCCTCGTGATTTCTGCTTGCTCAGCAGTCAGTTGGATTAACACAGCTGCAGCTTGCTCACTCGAGTAGAATCTATTCTTATTGCATAAGTAGAAAAGGTACGAGGACGTCTTTTCACCTGACTTTCTTTCTTTTAGCGGGATCTACCTCAAAACTCGGTTTGCATGTCGCATTAATTAGTGGTTGTGTCTTTTGACTTTTTGCGTTGTGCATTTTACTATTTTACGGGCCGAATATCTTGACCCCAGACGAAAATTTAGCATCAATTCAATCTCCCCTACCCCCCCCCCCTTCCCACCTACGCTATCAGATGTAAGCTCGAATATCATTTCTGAAAATGCTTTTAAACCCAGGTAAAGTCCCCCCTCCCTCGCTGGCCTTAACGGATTATCTTAGAGAGTGTTATCACGAAGGGGGCTAATATCATACGGTTTTGCGGTTTACATTCCTTCACCATTCGCTGAATATTTCCCGGCAATTTCATTTCAATCCCTCCTATCATTTCTTACTATGATCATGCGCATGAGAAAGCGATTAAAATTTTGATCGTTTCTGAGACGATCAATATCATGAGCATGAAATTAACGCTTCAGTTCCCCCATAACACGTTTTTTTAGTAGTTTGAGAAACAGATTCAACCATGTGGAAACCCTTAAATCTATACATGCTTATTAACCTTGTATACGATTCAGTTCGTCACGAAATTGTCAGTAGCTCAATTGATACAACATCCGGCCGCCGAATCTCGTAAGGTCCGAAGTTCGAATCATTATGGAATCTTAAAATGTTCCGCTTTGTCCCATGCTCTTGACAACACTGATAGAACTGTTGAACTTCTCTGTTTAACCCTCTATTTGCCGCCTTTTAATTTACTGGTCGCTCTCTTTTTATTCTTGTTAAAACAGGAGAAAGGCATCGTTTAGAGGAATTCAACAAAAATGTGCGATCAGGGAAGAAGGACTTAGGCTCGGTTAAAAACAGGCAAAAAGGTACCATATTTCAAACAAATAATATATTTGGAGGAGCTTTTTTCAAATTCCCTTACCATGAATGATGAACTGCAGCCTTGCCTAACTGCGTTAGGGGTCGGAATTTATAGCAAGATAAAGAATGTGAACCTTTACCTGAAGGAATCTGCCCTTTCTTAAATAATTGTCTTTTCGATCATTCTAGACACATTAACAGATGAACCTCCTCAAAAAAAATTCAGAAGCATGTCACGTAAGGCACAACACTCAGATGACTCGGACGGTAATCACAACTTCCACAGAGACGATCCACAGATTGGTGTCTGTCTTCAATATCTCAGGTATTTTGCAAAGCAATACTTTGTTTCTGAGACTCTGAGTTCATAACACAAGGTGATTCACTTCGACTGAGCAACATAAGATGTTCAAAGCTAGGAGTACAGAGGAACCTCTCCTTTAGGACACACTCTCGTCCAAGGGAGTCAAACGTTGATTTAGATTTAAGAAAATGTTCTCACCATTTTTGTATCTGTACTGCTACTTTAATTGAAGGGATAGCCCTATCTGGGCAACTCTCTTTTAATCCGGATGAATCTTTTGAGTAGCATTATTGTCATTGGTCCCCTTCTTCTCGCCTTATTTTCCCCCATTATTTCTTTCATCTCATTTTTAAACTTGATAGTCGCCCTCAACACAAGCAGTTCTTACTGAGCCGACCCGGGTTCAATTCTCCAAACGAGGAGTAGAGTTTGTTTTCAGTTTTCTCCCGGGCTGTGAAGTTGAAGTTCATTTATTTGTTTAAGCAGGTTGATTAATTGGCAGCTGTAATAGCTGATGTGGACCTGCTGTCCTGACCCACCCATCCCACCCCAGGGGAGGACATCCATCACACAGTAATCTCGTGCGTGGGAAATTAACGTCTCCTGCCCCTAACCCTGCAGGAGACGGGACCTCCATTTATTCGTCCCTATCCGAGAAGACTAGAATATCTAACCATTTCTTGATGTTATAGAAAGGTAGCATATTCTTCTCAATTATTTTAAGACCCTGAGTGTTGGTCCGGCCGGGGCTCGAACCCTCGACCTCCCGCACAACAGTCCAGCGATTTTTAGTATTATTTTTATTTGAAATATTTAGAAAGGCTAGCTCAGTTCAGCTTTAACGCTGGGAAGTGTGAGCGGCCCCCATTTGTTTACCAATTGAGCTAACCGCCTCCCGGTTAGCTCAATGGATAGAGCGCTGGACTGTTGTGCGGGAGGTCGAGGGTTCGAGCCCCGGCCGGACCAACACTCAGGGTCTTAAAATAATTGAGAAGAATATGCTACCTTTCTATAACATCAATAAATGGTTAGATATTCTAGTCTTCTCGGATAGGGACGAATAAATGGAGGTCCCGTCTCCTGCAGGGTTAGGGGCAGGAGACGTTAATTTCCCACGCACGAGATTACTGTGTGATGGATGTCCTCCCCTGGGGTGGGATGGGTGGTTAACAGGACCCCCGTTGATACCAGTGTTTACTACACTGAAGGGGCTATCCTGTATAAATATAGATGTCTGTCTGTCTGTCTTTCCTCACTTCAGAATCTCCTTTTACTTTAGTGAAAAACAAACACAGTAGTAAAAATCCAAAGCTTTTAATTCCTGTCCACGGCAGGTTGAAGTGATGTGCAACGGAGAAATCATGGGTAAAGATCATACTTTGGAGTTCGTCTTCATGACAAGATGGAGGGTAAAGGTAAGTAGATCTAATCAAAATGAATTGAGTTCAGTTCTTGAATAATGGTCGTATAAGGTGAGAGCTTCGTTTTTGGATTATCCTATCCATGCATACATTAGATAGTCGGCGTGAGTAGAAGAATTTAACATTACGTAAAGTTAGGATGCGCCAGTGCACAATCTCCCGGACTCATTGGCTGAGCTGATGTCTTAAACGAAAAGCAGCGAAGACATTTCAGTTGCACGTTTTCTCGTTGTGATCACGCCGCGCTGGTAGCGACGCCTCGCATCACCAAAGCTAAATCTCTACATTGTCTCCATATTGGATGCTACTAAGTCGTAACCACACGATTATTTCATTATCAAGAAATAGTTAAAGAGAAAGAAACACGTTTCTTCAAATGTTTCGGATCTTTGAGACATTTAAGTCAACTATGGAGGCGATGCCTGGATTTAGCTTGCTTGCTTTTGGTGATTCTTAGATACAAATACAAAATTCCAAATTATTTTACCAACTTACCAGTATGTTACGTTAGATTTGACATAACTTTGTTTAAATTTTTTTTCTCCCGCCACAGGACAGTACAATCTTAACCCTCCAATACCGACCTAAACTGGAATTCTTATGACAAAAGAATACAAGATTTTAGTTAAAAACAGACCACACCTTGATGAACATGTAACCTCTTCTTACAATTTCAACAAATATTCACTAAACAAATCCCAAGAATAGGGAAATTTGTCAGCTTCAGGGTTTTGTTTTGATTTCACATCTCATTCTTTTAAATAATTCGCAAGGAAATTGGTAAAGCATCTGAAAAGGAGAATGGGCTATAAGCTGTTTACAGTTGAAATGTTAATGTAGTTTTTTTTCTTTAGAAATCATTAGTGTATCATTTATCCTCTGTAAAGACGAGAATTATTAGTTCAGAGAAAAAAGAAAAGGAGGACGGAAACCCATACTTTCATCTTCCTTTGACTCTTTACCACCCTAACATCAGGATCCGTATTCTCCATACTGCATTTTATACATTTCTCTTGGTACTGACAAGGAGAATTTGTTGAACAATCAAAGCTTCAGAAGTTGGCAATCATTTCCCTGTTTCTCACGATCAGCTGTAAAACTGCAGGGAGAAATTCGATGCTGGTCACTCTTAACCGCCTCCAGGTTAGCTCAATTGGTTAGAGCGCCGGATTGTGTTGTGCGGGAGGTCGAGGGTTCGAGCCCCGGCCGGACCAATACTCATGGTCTTAAAATAACTGAGGAGAAATTGCTACCTTTCTATAACATCAAGTAAAGGATWRGATATTCTAGTCTTCTCGGATAGGGACGAATAAATGGAGGTCCCGTCTCCTCCAGGGTTAGGGGTAGGAGACGTTAATTTCCCACGTACGAGATTACATGTGTGGTGGATATCCTCCCCGGGGTGGAATGGTGGGTTACTTGCACGTTGTAAAGCGCTTGGGAGCATCTTCCTATGGACCATGCGCTATATAAATAATAAATTATTATTATTATTAACTAGCAGTCCGAGCTAGTCTGGATGAGGCTTCTTACTAGATTAGTTAAGTAATTCCCACGTCATCTTGAGAATTATACTTGAAACATCATATTGCCTACCTTCTAAGAATGATTGCACCTTCCAGCCAATTGTGTTTGTTGAAGAAAGATGAGTGGACCCGTCTATTTTCTACCGTAATGAAACTCCACCAGTTCAGTATCAACATTTTAACCCCCAAGATCTCTTCAGTAACTCTCCTTACTGTCTGCAATATTATTATTATTATTATTATTATTATTATTATTCTTATGATGTCAGTTTGGAGAATTTAGTATTGAATCTACAAAATAATCCCCTGATTGATGTTTTTATTTATTCTCATCAAGTTCCATGTGCTTGAAATTGTATTGATTTTGTAAGTAGAAATTCTGTCTTGGTCAGTCATGGAGTTGACAATATGGTTAACCACTTTAAATAGTCTTATTGTGTTTTACTTTCTAACTTCGAAGAATCCTACATTTGCTGAAAACAAATTTTTATTCCCTTTACTACTAGTTTCATTGTTTACATGGCGGTTTTTCATTTATTTATTTATGTTTGTTTTGTTTTGAAGTTTAGTAGTTATAGCTACGTTATCTGCAACTTTTCATACGGTTTATTTAACCAAGCAATGTATTGTCGACAAAATATTTGTAAGAGCATTGTTCTCTTTAAACGACAACGGAAATTTCAGTGATCATACGATAGCGAGGAACTGTATGACGAATCTAAATATCGTGTCTCGCTGTGTGTTCCAATATGTCAGACGTATATGGTAAAATCGAATCAATATTAGTTTGTTTTCAATTAGATCTTGTAAATATTGTATATGAGCATGTGATGTTTTTTGTAAAAAAAAAAAAAAAAACTATAAAACTAATATAAAGACATAAATAAATTGTTTTCAGTTTTTACTTTGCTTACCTGAATTGTTGGGGGTATTTTGCAAACAAGAAAGTACCAAAAGAACGGTGAAATATTTCTTAATTTCTCTTACTTCATACGTATACAGTCCTGTTGTCTGTGAATTTCTTAACAATCAGATTTGCTAGGAAAATTTTCATTTACTGAAAGAAACTGGACGGAAAAACTTTAAGAATGTGCGTACTCGAAGTGTTGGTGAACTTCAACACAATGAAAATGTAGAAAAAAAGGTGAAACCGGGTTATTTGGCAGAAAACAAGAGAATCAGGGGTGCCTCATAACTTCGTCTTTCACTCGGATGTTTCTTTTCCTGCAGAGACCACGCATAGTAATTGATATCAGAATAACACTAAGGTCACTAAGACCAGGAGGTAAATGGACGTTTAGGAAATCAATATCATTTCAGTGATTATGCTTACATCCCTAGGAGTGATCTACGGTCGACGAATACAGAATACTATATTTGTAGAGCTTTTTAGAGGCCAATGATAAAAGAAAACAGCGGAATATCGAACTTGTTCGTTCTCGCTCTGCCGATGAGACATCCTTTTAGCGCAGAAAATCGAAAGCATGCCGTGATCACCTGACTTCTAAATGTTTTGTTGTTTTTAAGTTTATATATTTTGAGTAATGAAGTGTTAATGTCATACAGAAGACTGATCTAGAATTTAAAAAGACGTCATTGTCAAATTGCTGAAAGATCTGAAACTGACTGAGATCTAAAGTTACTCAGAAGAGAGAGTAAGTATCACAAACTTCGTTTTTTTTTTTTGTTATTGAAGTATGCAGATTTCCAACAAACCTTGGCCTTCTGATGATTGCGACCATGCAAATAATCTATCCAATCTTCTAAATGAAACTTATTCGATCACAATGAATTGTTATCCTTTGACGATGTAGTCACTTCCGATGTGAATCGCGACGTTTCGACTACGTGCTGCAAGTCTTCTTCAGGCAATGAGGTCGCTGGACTAATAGCACGCACGCACGCACGCACGCAACATCATAGGATTGATTGATTTTCAACAGGAGTAATCAGCTTTGACAGTTTAAAGATCTTTCTGGGCCTGAGTATGAACTTTGATCAGTTTCGAATAACGGGTTCAATCAGAAGACAGAGTATCTGAGATGTAACCGCCTGGCTGCTTGTCTGTGTAGACGTCAGACAGTCAGACAGACAGTTCTGTTTCTTGACAATGGTTTCATCAAGTTTTTTTTTTTTTCTGGTGGTAGGAGGGTAATTTGGCAAACCTCCGGCGTAGTTCTTTATGTTTCAGATGCGTGGGCCATAAAGATTTTTTCCTCTCCTTTGAAAATGCCATGGTTTTATTTTTTTTTCTCAGTTGTAAAATGATTTTAAGATATACCAAAAATGATCAGCCCTAAGTTGACAACAGAAGTAAACATAACCACCGCTGTATGTCGGTAATGTTACTGGATATTGAGTACCAAACGCTTCCCTGTTCAAGGCGTATTTATCCAATGTTTCAACGAATATAGAAATGAGGTTGCCTTGTTGATAATCAGTGGTGTTGAAAAATTATATGACATCATGATATGCTGATGACTTCGGGTCGGAGTTGAAACCTTTAAAACAGATAAAAACTTTAATCTCTATTCAAACTGAATTATTCTAGAAACACAAGTTTTGCTAAGCAACCTAGCAGTAATAAGAGAACGTATAAAAGCGATGTCACGATTTCTATCAAGAAATGTTTAATTTGATTTTTTTTTTCAAGTTTGGCCTGTTTTCAGTCTTCTTGTTCTTATCCACCAATTCTTACCTTAGTCGTATTTTTCTATTCTAGAGAACAATTATTCATGGTTTGATTCTGTTTCAAAGCGATTATGTATGGCTCCAAAAGGGTACATTTTAAGATCGGCGTGAAGCAAAGGAAAACGATGAGTGCCCTTGTGAAATCGAATCCCAGACCTTTGGACTTCGCGCTCCATATTCTTTCCCCCTGAGCGACAGATAACTTTATGACGGGTCAGACTATTAGTAGGTTTAAATGTGACACCCACATGGTCTCGTATTATTCCGCCTTATTTCAGTATAGTCCTTTGGTCGTGCTCTCTCATCCCAAAACAAAGGATTCGTCGCCTCACGCAAATCAACAGAAGTGTATTGACGCGCATTTTGCCCTACAAGAAATTGAAACTGATGTAGTTAGAGTGAAATGGAGAACCCAGTAAAAATAAAATATGATAAAGAGACAAAAATTATGTGTATTTGCCTCAAACGGAGCTAAAACAAAGGGTCCTTCGGCAAGCGACTTTGTTTAATTCGAGTTGTGTAGTTTGCGTTGTTATTAGTTTCTTTTCATTGAGTGCCATTCAAAATTAATAGAAAAAATGCAGAAAGTAGACTTGTCATTCTTCTACCGACATGGTTAAGACACTAACGTGTTTACATACAAAAACTTCTCTTGATGTTAATTCAAGCTTACTAGGGACAACATCGCCTCGCAGCACTCGAACAAATGAACTCAAGAAATATCGTTATCAACAACCGTTTATGCTGGAGATATTTACCGCTGTGATACACCTTTATAATACTCCACGTGGGTCGAATCGATATCCCACGAAATTAGACGGATGAGGATTAATTTTCGCTGACATTTGCGGCGAACAGTTGCCCTTGGTAATTTCCTTAATATTTCATTTTTGTGATCTAAATGTATTCAGTTTTAAATTTTTAATGACCATCGGTGTCATTTTCAGTGTTTTGAGGTTTGTTCAGTTGTCTTTTGTAGATGTTCACTGAAGATTTACATAATACCATTATCCCTCTCTCGTACCGTCAATTCTTATCTAAATATTGCTTTAGCATTTCCAAGTTTAAGAAAACAATATAGCTATAAATTAACTGGGGAAGTTGCTTCTGCGGGGATGCATGCGAATGTATCCTGGCTTATCTCGAAAACCGCTTAATCTAAGCCATCAGAATTCGCCACAACTGAAATACCAATTTTTGGCTACAAAGCTTAATTCTAGTTTTAAGGAAGAGGTGGCGACATTCTCGCTATCAAGAGCCATTAAGACTCTCCTTTGTCTGGCTGTTTTCTTGATTGTATTGTTCGTGTGTTTTTGAACTGCCCTTTGCTTTATTTTCCTTACAAGATAGTCGCAAAATTCGAATTGCGCTGCGTACGTATGAACTTCCACTTATGACTTTCTAGATAATTTCTAAACAAAGTTTAACTTTGTGAGATTTTATCATAGGACAATTTAATTTCTCAGACGTGTTTTGAACAGTTGATTACTTCATGCTCCGTAGCAACTGAAAGAATAGACCTTGAAGTGACCATTTATTTGGCAATTAACAAGTTAGTGCATTGATTGCAGTCGAGTTTTTAAGTTGATTCACAGGAGTTTCACCGCCCGGTGATTATTTAGATATTTCCAGCTGATGAGTTAATAAACAAGTTTGCTCGTTTATCCAATTGGTTGTTTTGTTTCTATCCGGGAATTTTGATGATTCGCGACCGCAGGCCACACGAATAGACGTCGTAGAGAGATTTTCTGTGTTGTCACAGAATACAGAAGAATTGACAAGACCGACTGGCCGCACGTCTGTCTAAACTCAAATGGCCGTTCTTCAGGTAAATGAAATCCAAGCGTTTTCTCTCTTCCTCTAAATCGTGTTATCAAATAATGCCTTTTTATTTACAACATATTCCAGGCCCGTTTATTTCTGATTTCAGAGCCGGGGATGCTTGTAAAAAGAGTAATGTATTGGTAAAAGGTCATTTGTAATGGCGGCAGCTTCAAGCGTGCATTTACCATTTCCCTGCGTACATGAGTCAGTAATTTGAAACACTAAATTGACACAAGTGAAAGTTGTGACGTGCTCTTAAGAAAAGGGAAATACAGCTAAATACAATGGGGCACATCCTTCCTGCCTACAATATTCCTAGTGAAAGGATAATTACAATATATCACAGGAAACACTTTCCTCGAATTTTCCCAAACGTGCTATTGGAAATATATGAAATTCCAGTCAGTTATATCGCGTCAAAGCATGGTAAATATTTTAATACTGACCAACTTGGTACGAGTATAGTGTCACTTAGATTATTACCTTTATAATACCCCGCTAATCATAATCAGTTACTCGTGGGATTCGATTCCATTAATCACTCACGAAAAACAACGGTGCATGCCTTGCATTTGACGACACTGTTACAACTGATCTACATGAAGCAAAACTTCACCAAGAAATGGCGCCTTTGAATTCCTGCGTCCAAAATTAATTACTGAGAATGAAATTGTCAAACATCAGCAGAAATTGTTTTAATTCCATTTTGATTGAGCGCTACCGTCAAAGAAAACAACTTATTTTATCGAAGAACATCAGGTAGCCGTCCCTCCGATGCGACAAACACCTGTTTGAAAAAAAACAAGATCTCAAAATTCACCTCGGAAACTTATCCCGCGCTACTCTTACTTAGAAAGTACTAGAGCTTAACGAAGATATTGCAAGTGCTTTTAACGGATATTGTTTGATGTTCAATGATATCTATAATTTGTATGTTCTATTAGTCAAACAGGGAGAAGAAACTCAAACTTCAAGATCTGAACTCGTTCATCACATGCAAACTTTGCAGTGGATATCTGATTAAGCCGACGACGATCACGGAGTGTCTTCACACATGTAGGTACCCCGGGATAAACGAAACGCTTTGTTACAAACGGCAACAATTTGGTCGCGATAAAGAGAATATAAACCCTTTCCATCGCTTCTGGGAGTTAAATAATCAACAAAAACCGGTATCGAGTTTTGATAACGCAAACTTAAATGTGTCTCTTCTCTTAACTAAAGTGAAATGCGGCAATTTCCATTTGTTGTGAAACTGTCGCCTTCAAAGCGCATTAAAAAACATCTGCCTGCGTTTGTTATGAACGACCATCAAACACTATTCATTTCTTTATTAGTTTAACTCATGGAGGTAAAACTTTTAAGAAGATCTTCTGAAGGCACTGAACGACACATTTTGCCCGCTTCGCCATGCTTCGCCTAAATGATAACATAAGGAGGTAGAAAACTGGAATTCTGGATTTCAGCTTTGCTTTCGTTCGGACATTAAAAACCAATCCAAGCTAGTGATTTACGAGTGATTCTCCATTTCAAAGTCATAATTATTCATAAGATGGCACACTTTTGACGCTTTTAGATAATTTTATTAGATACAACAGTAGGGAGTGATAAGCCTAAATTATGATAACAATTGCGAAACTCATAACACGACCAGTAAGTAAACATCGAGGGCTTTCATTCGTAGAGAGAGGTTCGTACATTTCGACCGTGGTCGATCTGATAAAGCAGCAATTCGCGACAACGGCGAATTAAAAGCTTTGCCTTAGCTACAGCTGCTACTAAAGTCCGCAATTGTTCAAGTTTCGTCATTCATTCTGTGTCCTAGGAGATAATAAAGTACCCCTGAGGGAATATACAATATTAACAGATTGCCAAAGGAAAGCTGCTCGATAACTGCCCCTTGATAAATCTGAATGTGCGTGTTTTACGCCTCTACAGAGCAAGTTCAAATTATTTGGCAAATAACGCAAATTATAGACGAAATAAGCGGTGGCATACTTGAAAGGTTAGTGAATGGCAGGTACGATGACCTTATTGTAAACACGCTCTACTGAAACAAAGACAGTGATTATCTTTTAGTCAGCTACCCAATCAAGTTTGTTTGTTTCTGAGAATAATGACGTTTCTTTAAGCTTGAAAAAGAGATTAGTCCGGCTTGTATTTGAGAAAATTAGTTTGAAACAGCAGAATTAGGAAAAATACGATATTAATTTGGCTTATCCAAGGAAACAACGTATTTATCTGAATAAAGTCTTCTTTTTCGTTAATTTCTGTTAGAAAGACAATTTTCCCTAAGTACTATCATAATCTAATCATGTGACTAACATTGTTACCAGCTCAACGGTTGTGAAAATCAAGAAAAGGGATCCTGACCGTTGTTTATCGTTCCTGCATTTGTGATATGAGCGCTCAACATCCTCAAAAGCCGAATAGTTCTGCTCGGTCACATATGAGGAGGACATACACTTCACAATTGATTGTTTTGTTGCTGAAAAGGCACAATTGGGTGAGATATGATTTGTAGGGGCTATGCATAAATCCAAGTAAAACGGGTTGTACTCCTAAAAATTTTGAACAAGTCGTTCGAAGTCAGTGACACATCATTTACATGGAAAATTTCTTAGGGGTTATCACCTGCTTGGTGAGTCTTTGCAATTACGTGCACAGAGTGAAGGGTGTTTTGGCTGTATTTACACAGAAAAGAGCGTCACGGATTTAGCTTAATTCAGCTATGCACTTACACCACAACAAGAATCATCTCCTAGTTATCAAGCTTCGGTTGTTAATTAATGAAAATGTGGTTTTTGTTTGCGCTAGGATAAAGCGCTCAGTATCGGCTTCCTCATTCGTGTCTATTGGTCTTGACAATGTAGATTACCTCAATGGATTAGTGCCATACGAATTTAGATTCTGGCTTGAAATCATAGGAGATCTGATTATCGTACATTGAAATCCAGTTTTTTTGCGAATTTGAATTAATTGTGGCGATAAACTGGAAGAAAACAGTCAGGTATTTGTGACCACAGGCGATTTTATCACGGGTGTGCGTAATGCGTGTTCGCGAGCCAGCCACGGTTATGGCGGGAAAATTAAGACGTGACTCCGTATACTTCACTGCAAGTATCGCTATGAAGATAATACTAACTCACAGCGTAATGACCTCTATTGGGAAAACATGATAAACACCTCACACCAATCTTGCCCATTAAAGGTAAATAACAGATAACCCTTTTTAAAGAACGTCGAGGCTGAGATTTGCCAAAACTCTTTCAAAAATTTTGTTCTTTAAAGACCTGGAAACATGCCTTAGTTTAGAGTCAATGAACTATGTTTAAGTTCCCGCTGTTTTGAGGTAGAAAAGGAAGGAGACTATACAGTTTACTTACACTATATTTTGGGAAATGTTAATATAACATTAATTATGATGCACTAAAACCTTTTAGGCACATCCCACTTTGAAGTCGAACCTAACGTAGAAAGTTCTTAGGTCACATTAGCGTGTAACTTCAAGAACATTTTAAGGACGTTTTCAGGCTTAAACCTTGAAAAAGAAAAGATTCCGGCTCAGCTCCAAACTTAGACGCGTAAACAATAGGAGAAAGAACAACTGAAGCGATCAAAGAAATACCTCGTTGACTGCAGTAAAAAAGGCGGTTCACATCCTGACAAACTTTTTGCATGAACACTTAACCCTTTGACCCCTAAGAGAGATTAACAACTAACTTCTCCTTACGATAACACCCCTGAGTAAAACATTAAAGGTCACGAGAATAAAGGAAATGATTAATAACTCAAGAAGCTTTTGATTGTTAAACAAATTCCTCTTTTAAGTACCCTATGGAATTTTTAGAGGACAGTTTGAAGAATATGCATACTGATGTTGGGGTTTGAAGGATCAAGAGTTGCTAACGGCGTCGTTTCGGCTCTGATGGTCACAAAGACTCAACATGGCTCTGCGACATCTCAAGTTTCAAGTTTATTAAAGTTTACCGACCATTGTTTCTAATTATAATGAGAGAGGCTTACTTATCTCATTGGTTTTTTTTTTTATTCCACAGTCTGCAGATCATGTATTGTGAGATATTTACAAGATAGGGACGACAATAAATGCCCCACTTGCTCGATTCTCATCCACGAAACAAATCCATTTGAAATGCTCAGGTATTTGAGGTCATGTATTGCGTCCTACTAAGTAGTCTGATCTTCTTCCAAGCAAAGGTTATAGCAGTTGGTCAAAGAGGATCTTAAAATAATGATGTACACTCGACTGAAGAGATTCTATATCGAAGATCAAACGATCGTTATGAACCCTGTATTGAAAAAGAAGAGTGAAACTGGCGACTGTTTACAGTTTTAGGTGATAATGATTCTCTCTTTAAGTTGTTAATATCAAGTTCCTCACACCCGAGACCACAGTGTAAAATTTCGAGTGGCACAATTCTGTTCTTGTGAAGGCACAAGACTGAGGTAAAGTTGTATCATGAGATAAGTTCGAACACGCAAATTTCCGGTTTGAAGGTGATCTTTGTTGCATCAAATTAGACAATACAACCAAACATTCTTGCTTTTATATCTATTTTATCAAAGCATTTGTACAGTAACACGTAAAGATTTAGTGAGGAGTATTTACAGTCCTCACTGCACATGTAACATTGCCACTTGTGTACCTATAAGTCTCATCTCAAAAATTACGTAGACAAATAAAAACGTGGCTGTACAATTGGCTGGCGATTTCGCGTTTTCCAGTTTTTAAATGAAGTATGCTAGCCTAGCCAGCCCTTGACAGCGATAAGTGTTAAAGATAAACGCTTACAGTATGTATTTTCTGTTGACAGGTCGGACCAGACGCTGGAGGATGTAGTTTACAAACTTGTTCCCGCGTTGCAAGCTAGTAAGCCCTGTAATGTTTTTTAAGTATGACACTAATTGAGAACAAAAATTCAACAACAAAAATAACAACTTCAACGTTTAAGGATGAGAAGTTAATCGTTGAATTTTGTAGCTTCTACTCATTATTTTTCTATCAAGGTAGCTCGATAAAGTTTTCCTAAGCTCTTACCGGCCAGATTCAGAGCACTCAAAAACCAACCCCCCCCCCGCCTCCGGCTTGCGCAAACTTGCAACGTTTTCGTAACAGTTGAAAGGTTAAGCACACTCATGCACTTACCCCCACACACACACACAGCCATACTTCCAGGTCTTGCTCAGTTGCTGCTTAAATTTCTTCTTCGTCCTCCACTAGCAGAAGATCTCAACATCCCCCGTTACCCCTACTTTGTTTTCCTGATTGCACCGGCTAGGTAATGAAATTACAAAAGCCAATCTGTGAGGCATTTGGCGCTACCACCCACTGAAATCATGATAAGTGCATTCCCCTCCAGCTTTGATCATTGCCACTCATCCGAATCTGTCATAGGAAAAGATTGGACTCCGAAAATGTCAATACTTCACGCATGTCTCTCCATCACAGTGAGATTTCTAAATTAATTTAGATTTGAAAATTCTCCAGTATGGAAAAAAAATTGATGGCCATGGATCCACATCCCATCGTCATCAATTACTCCTTTTGTAGCCAACTATACAATAGAAATTTACATGCAGAAAATATAATTACATGATTTTGGTTCAATTCTTCTCTTTTATCTCCTCGTCACTTTGCCAAATTACATTACTTTAATGTAGCCAAAGTTAGTACCAACTATGATGTAGCAAATCAAGAGTTTTAAACCTGAAAATAATCATCTAATGTAGGAGGTTGAACATCAAAATAGGTGCTTGTAGTTGATCCATATAAGCAGGTACGTGCATTCCTAAGCAGAGCACACACGGAATACATTACACCTACTGGACTTAATCCAATCTTTAAGTTCTTAGAATCTGGGAAAGCCAAGTATGTTACTATGTTGCTAAACACCCACTTCACAGCTTCCCTTACTTTACTCATTTACTTATTCAAGGGAGGCACTTAATTGAGAGGGGGCGCTAATTTAACTTTTCCCAAATGGTGGCCTGACATGACCATTTTGTTAATACATCATCTGCACATAAACAACATTAGCTGTTTATTGACATAAAACTGATCCTAGAGTTTAAACCACCATTAGTGCAATGTACAAATCTAATACTACATGACGAAAACTGTGCATCCTTTGTTGTCTCAGTACTTGTCCACAAAATGAGGGGAGGGGAGGGGAGGGGGCGCTTATTTTAAATTTTGGTCGATAGGAGGGGCACTTATTCGAAGGGGGCGCTTTATTCGAGAATTTACGGTAGTGACACTTCATTCAGTTTCAAATTTGGGGGCTTAAATAAGGGGAGGCATTACAGTAGAACGATGCAAATAATCGTATTAGCTTACCAACTGGTCCATACAAATTGGCTATTAAACCATTTGGCGCCACAACTGATTGAAACTTTAGGGCATGTACCCTTTTGTGCCCATTCTACATCACACGCTGGTTCTCTCCTGGGCGACAAATTGGGCGAACTGTCCCGTCTACAAACCCCCAGCAATTCTCAAGAGCTGCTCCCTTTCCATGGACAGCAAGAGCAAAGTCTTCCAGATGTTGGCTACTCAGCCAGGGTTGATCGAGATCTCTGAGCAAGTAGCCATGGTTTGTGTAAATAAAGCTGATCACCTCGTTTAAGATTAAGCTCAGCTCGGGCACTGAACGACCAAAGCGAGGAATCATATCCGAGAGACGACATGGGTAAGAAAAATCAACAGTCCTTCGATTCCTGAACATACCGTGCCATTGGCGCAAGTAAACATTTCTGGAATTGCTAATACCCGAAGAAGGAGAGGTAATTCTGTGATGCCAAACCTGAACTCTGCTTCAAACTCTTCAGGAGAAATGGCGTCAAAAACATCGTCAATCCTTTCATACTGCCTTTAAGGATGTTGTTTTCTCTTCGTTGCGATTTCACAAATCGCGAGGAAATCTTCTTCGTCAATCTCTTCATCTCCAAGGAGGTAAACGGATGCTTCTAGGATAGCTTTCATAGCGAGAATGTTACAGTAAAATCCTCGCACTCGGATCGATACATTTGTTTTCAATCTAAAGTTACAATTTTCGTCAGCACGAATACGAGTACGAGATACTAGTGCCAGATCTCGCGCGGTCAAAACTCGTACTCGTACTCGTACTCGTTCTCGTACTCGAATCTAAAGCTCTCGAATAACTGTATCATCACGTGACAACTCACATGACCGTCTGCCCGAACCAGACATACTACAGGAATGGCTCCGACCTGTCACTGGATGATAAAAATAGTAAAAGTTAATAAGTTACATCTTAACTCCTTGCTTGTGAGTACCGTTTAACCGTGTGTCTCAAAGCGGAACAGAAGAAACTTCAGACCCCTTGACCCCTTGAAAATAGATTGAAATTGTAAACGCAGTTCTACATGAATGAATATTTTTTTACGACTAACCCCAAGTGCCAAGTCACACAACAATCCCGCATAGATAACTGGAGACAGATACTGAAGGTTTCCTATATTTTTATTCAAAACAAAAACGAGAACGACAAGAACTATGGCAAAATTATTTCACTTTCTCGGGTGTAATCCCTAAAAAAAAAAAAAACATGACCTCCACAGACAGTGCAACAACGATCGATGTCCTGCATGTTAATACCAGAATAATACGTTTTCTATAAAATTATCTTCTTTAATCTTCTTTAATGGTTATACTCCTAAATCAGTGAGAACTATACTATGAACCCCCTGGAAATATCTGATTATTTAGATCCGATATTTCAAGTCGTGAGAAACCATTCGCACTTATACAGTGTCGGTGATGACAGAAAAATTGTCGCTAGTGCGGATAGGTCCTAAATATTCATTCACTGCGTTAAAACATAAATCTCAATCACTTTTCTTTTTTTTTAACTGCGTTAAAACATAAATCTCAATCACTTTTCAAGGGGTCTGAAGTTTCGAGGTCTGAGGTCTGAGGTCTGAGGTTTCGAGACACCCCTCCGTCTCTGATCGTCCACCTGAACTGAGCCTGAATCGACTAAATGAGTTTAGTCAGCGAAA